AAAGATGAGATGCAGTAGCTGTAAAGAGGTCAGTTCTGATGCATAAAATATCCTTTTTCCACCTGAACATTACATGTCCTGTATGTTTTGTAGGAGCACATGGTTAGTTCCTTCCATATTACAATGAAAAAAACCCAAAACTTTATTCTAATAAGTAAATGTAATAATTATCAAATTCAAGTCATCTTTTCTGCAGTATATACTACGTTGGAATAAGTAGTGCGGACAACCAAAGAACTCAGTATTTTGTTCACACATTTCATCTGATGTTATACATCATTTGGGCATTATCTTGGAAAAACATGGTGACTGGATATGCAGAAGGCCACAGAGATACATGTAATTCATATCCCTGACACAGACTAGGATCTTCCTTTTTGTCTCATTTTAGGTAACTCCATATGAATCCTTTGTCTTAATCTTCCTTTTTGTCTCATTTTAGGTAACTCCATATGAATCCTTTGTCTTATGATAAAATATTTCTATAAAAATATTAACTCATCGTTGATCTTAAAGCCAAACTAAGTCAGTTCAATCTGGATTTCATACACTCAAAGTATATATTTTTAAAGCAAAAGCTGTATTTTACACAATATTTGGAAAATGTAAGAATTGCATTCTATGCAGATTAACTTCTGGATTTTGACTTTGGTGGAAAACGTGTTTGCCAAACCATTTATTTTTTAAATCATTCTGAAAGTGGAAAGCTTGACTACACCATAAGCGAGCACTTGCAAGCCCCATGTGTGAAGGAGATGGGCACAAAGCTGGAGAAGAGCCATTCCTGCAACTCCTGCAATAGTCCGGAGTGTTTGGTGCCTGCTGGCCCTTTCCTATCTGTGTTCAGTGAATATAGGCTCAAAGAGGGTCTGCTCCCAGTTCGGATGAGCAGGAGGGTAAGGCTCTATCCTCTTTTTTTATTCTGCTGAATATGATATGAAGCTTTTAATAGTGTTTTATAGGCTCCTTATGCAGTAAAAGCAAATTTATTGGGACAGTAAATATACAAATAACTGGCCTGAGCTGAATACAGATAAATTCATATGGCTACTGGAATACATTAAAAGAATAGAAAACAGACTCTTTTATTTTTTTGAAATTCTTTATATTTCCCATGTTTTTCACATGTGAGTGTGATATTTTACCCTTTCACTCATAATAGCAAGGCTTAACCATAATATTTTTGTTTCCTAATGGTTACATTTCATTCAAGATTAGCCAGGGGGAAAAAACACAAACATACACACACACATTTTGAGATTACTTAAATACATCTTGAAACTCTGCCAGTACTTCCTGAAAAGAAAATGTGATTTACAGATTCTTATTTTGCATTTAGACTAAAAACCTYTGATTTATATGGTATATGGTAGGGCTTTTAAATTCCTGACAGTTTTACTGCATGCATCTAAATTCAGCTTCCATGTTTTATCTTGCATGCCCATTTTCTTGCAAATTCCTGTCAGGCTGTTGTTTAAGAGTCATTCCTGAGAGCTGAGCTCTAGTTAGGAAGCTGAATGCATAAATGCCTCAAAACTCACTTGCCTCATTTAACCTGCTGCAGCCTCATTTGTCTTCTGGGCTCTGATTTTGATCGCTCCCAGCTGTGTTTTAATCACTCCTTGGCTTCTCTTTTTCATGTTGTCAAATGAGAGCTCCTTGTCTCCTTGTGCCTCCTTCGTTCAGCTGTCTGCCAAGTCTGAACGTGACAGTTTCAGGTTCAGGTGCACTGTGCCTTAATCTGCACGAGGGAAAAAAGTCCTCACTATTCTTTAGAAAGCTGTGACATAGTTTTCTTGATTAGATTCTAAATAATGTAATTATTGATTAGATTATTATTAATTATTAATTATTGATTAGATTCTAAATAATGTAATTTACTGATATATTGATAAGATTGCTACTGGATGGGCACCAGATCTATTGACAGTGTTTGTAACAATTCTGCTTTCTGGGGTTATTGATTAATAACATGGGGCGGCTGTATTTTCAGTTTCTCCCARAGAAGAATATTGTCCACCTCTGTTTTATGTCATCATTTTACTATGGCAAGATAGCAAGATGATAGAATATCATCTTCCGTGATTAGAAAAGATTGCTGCTTGTTACAGACATAAATCAATCCAAATGGAAATTTCAGGGAAGGGTCATCTTTCTCTGAGGATATGTCTTTCCTTCAGCTTAAATTTGAATTGTAGCGTTTGGTTGCCTTCTTGAATCTCAGCATCATCATGTGCTTCTTCTGTGTTTCACCTACACAAGGAAAACAAGAAGTAACTGTGATAAGGTTCTTAATTCTAGTATCTGGTATTTTTCTTTCCCTCCCATACCCSCACTTACCTCCACTCCTCCAGTAGGCATCTGTCCATCATGGGCCAATATCCAAAGAAAAATGTTCGCTTAATGTAGGCTRGTGATTCTTATTTACATCAGGACAGACCTAGAACTTACAAAGAGGGATAAATTTATCTAGGATCACTTACTGCACATTTTCTGTTGAGATAAATTGAAATTAATGTTGAAATCTCAAGAGTTCTCATAATATTAAAAGAAAAATGACAACAAAACTTAATATTCTTGAAGWTTTTTTTTTTTTTCCTCTTTTTCACCTTCATTCATTCATCCCAGAATAAGTTTGCTTAGATTGAGGTCGAACACAGTCTGTTCACCTGACACACTTCATTCCCTCTGCGGGATCGTCGTGCCCCAGTTCCCTCTTCTGCAATTCCCSCTGCTCCGGGTGGCAGTTTCCTTTGAAGCTCAGTGGCCTCTTGGAGGAAGCAAGAGAGGGTTTGTGACGCAGTGCTTGGAAGATGAAGGCATAAAGAAATGTCTTTCTAACCTTTACCCTCTTGGGGACTCGAAGTCACAAGTTGTTTAAAATGTTCTTTCTGCGACCACGAAACTGAAAAACAAAACAGTGGAATTTTCTGCTTGTTTTTAAATAATTAGGTAATATCTTGTGATTTATTTGTTGAGMTACATGTTTCTTCTTATATAATGATTCACTTATGAACTGCTATTAATAAACGGATCAAATGAAATTGCTTATTTTTTGTGACGACAAGACATGTCATCATGAAAACATTTCTTTGTTCTTTCTGATGGGACCATCCTGGGCCTGCATCAGTTACCATAGGGCATCAGTGAATCTAGCACAGCCTCACGCCCTCATGGGCAACAACTCTGGAGAACTTTTAGAGCTCCCAAGGAAATACTGATAATTTCTATTTTGCAATGCTACTAACGGTATGAAAAAAAAAACAAAAGCTATTTGGGGTTAGTCTGAGCTGAATACGTCAAACAGGAGGGCCTACTGTTAAGAGAGTTTGGGGATTGTTTTGTCATGTTTATGTACAGAATAACCCTAGAACTTTCAAGACCTTTCCTTCTTTTGATGCTAACTAACCTCATTTATGAATCAAAAATACAAAAAGAACAAGACAAGCACTTTTTGAGACCTCTATAAAATTAGAGTTGCATGAGCAATTGGACAAGACAGAAGAATGTGCAGATTTGCATTTCTGTATTTTAGGATAAATGTATCCATAACATTTTCTTCTAATTTTAGCTGCCTACTGTGATGCTTACTTATTGATCTGCTAGAATTAGAATATTCAAATCTCAGTTGCTGCAAGAGCATTGTAGTTCTATCCACCTTTGCTGTCTCTTTAAGCAGTTAAAAGGTCCTTCTGCCTTAAAATTTGACTATATAAATGTATGTATATTATGATCACATATATTATAGCAATCTCGGGAACAGTAAATACCTGTGGGTATTGCTGCTGACTGSTAAACAACTCGGAAAAGAGTCAAGCCTAGGGTTGGAATCAAAAAGAAATGTAAATGCAATTGCCTAAATGAAAGGCTGCAGATAAAATGGATTGTTGGCATATAAATTACTTGCATATAGTACGGAGAATAGTTGATACTGTACTAAAATTAAAATAATTATGCTGCAAATTGCTGCAAGTTTATATGGCTTCAATGCAGGTGAGGTATTCTGTATGTCTCACAATATGGCATGCAGCTCCCAGACCATTGGGTGCAACATATTTTTGAAAATGCTGAGAACTCTGTGTTTGGGAGAGAGATGTTGATGATTTAGGATCTGGTCCTGCCAACATGAAAATCATACAATATTTTTCAAGGAAATAGAACCCGAGGTCTAGTTATAGTCTGTAATATAGATTTCAGAAATACCTTCTTCTAATTAGGTGGAGCAAAGATTTCCTGTAGTGATATGACCTTAAAATAGATTTGAATCCGTTCTAATAAGTAAGGTAGCACTAGACATAATGCAACAGCATTAATGAGGCAAAAATGAATTAAATAAATCTTGTAGTCATTTTACAGCCATTATGCAAAATTTCTCTGTGCTGAACCTGACAGAGCTGGAATTCTCAAGATCTGTGCAAATTGTACCTAAGCATATTTGCTTGAAGCATTGGAAGAGCTTTTGTGAAACGAAACTAGTGGGAGTTATTTAAATAACAGTATAGCAGCTATTAACAAAATAGAAAGATCCAAAATAGTAATTTACTTCAGACATCTCTTCTAAAACATGTCTAGAATGGATAGAACTGTCAGCAAATAATACAGCATTGCTACCAACCCTCACAGAATCATGAAATTCTGGAGATCAAGAAATTCTCACACCTGATAAAACACGCTGCCTAGTTACAGTGCATATTTCCACCCGTGTGGAGAGAATGTAAGATGTTATAAATCGTCTTCAGGAAGCCATATATTCTTGAGCTCTTATCTCAATCCATACAAAAAATTGCACATGAAAAAAAAACTATGAACTGTACATGCTGTATCTACCTCAGATGCATTATTCCGTGTTTAGCATTATTGCTGCCATCCTCCCTTCCATCATCATCATCATCGCCACCTTCCCCACTTCGCCATGCCCCATGCACGTCTCCAGCCCCATGTGTGCTGTGCAGAGCGATTTGCCTCCTGTGCCAGTGAACTCTCTAACCCTTCTCTCGCAGGCAGTGAGAATGCCTGGCCACGCTCCAGCCACCGGGCGATCCTGGACTCTCCCGCTTGGAGCTTAATGGATGTAACCGGGCAGCTACCAGTCTATATGTCTTCTGTAAATGATCCTCCAAGGGCTTACCTGTAGCTGTGCTGTCATGCTCCCAGGAATAATCACAAGGTTTGTCTTCATCTTCCTAAATCTTTATTCTGTGATGTGCCCTCGGAACACTCTAGGTGCAAGTGTTGCTTAGGGACATTTGGAAACAAAGCATGGGCTACCTAGTTGAGATGCTGCAGAACCAAATTTTCAATAGCTTAGGTATTCTTTATCTTTCCTCCCGAYGTCTTGTGAAACTTCTGTTTTGGGATTGTCTTTACTTACAGAATGATGCATGGTGGAAGTTTTCCTYGATGTATACATGATCTGTACTTCTAGACCACATCTATGAGGATGACTGGGAAGTGAAGCGAGAGTGGGTTTGATTTGTTTTCTGGTATTTTAACTGTGAACAAATGATATGTACTTAATTTACACATTAGCATGTGCATTGTGTGCCTAAAGGAACAACAAATTGTGTTTTATATGCTTACTCCAATTGCTCAAATAAATACACGTTGGAGRGTGGGGAGAATAAATCAAAATCTATTTGAATACCGTCAAAATACAATATTGAAATAGTGCTCTTTTTTTAGCATGTAGTGCTTGTGCCGACGTTGTTGTGAGCTAGCCAAAATATTGTGTTGTTGATATATACCTTCCAAGTTTGAAGTACTTTTGGGAATATGCAGATGTGAATTAATTTCTAATCTTTTCATTACACTATCAATATGGAGGTCTTTTAGTTCTTATTTTCTGACATCAAATAATCTCACGTGTTCCTTGCATTATCAGAAGACTCTTCTGCATGATCCCTATATAAAGTAACATTTTGAAGGGCTTTCTATTTTTTTGTTTTTTTGGCAGACATTCGTTTTAGTTGTGTTGTATTTTCCAACTGCTTTGTGGTGTTTGCTTTTTGTTTTCCTCCGCAATTCATAATGAGCAATTCAGCTTTGAATTGCCTGTATTTTGCATTCAGTTTCATGTATCTTATGTAGAAGTGGATATTTASGTGAAAAAAAAGCATGTGAGAGGCAGGACATGTATTTAGTGACTCCATGAAATTCAACCCTTCCACCTTCCAGCCCTCACTGCCTCAGTACATTGGGTAGCTGCATGATTCATGACCCGTAATGAGACCTTTCTCCATTACTTATGTAAGTCACATTGGTACCCAGTGATACTTGTAGCTTCTGCATTTTTTCCCTCATGTAATTATATATGATTCAAATATGTGTTTCTTTTTATTGACTTCAGACCTGCTACTTGCTTTCATTTGGTTCTTGTATCTTCCCCTGTGAAAACATTTCTTATTTTCATTTTTCATTTCATATTCATTATCTTTCTCATTATTCATGGCCAAAGAGACCTCAGAACTGCTGCCCCACAGCCATCTCCTTTCAGAGATGGACTCCTGGTCTGTTTACTCTCTTCTCACGAGAAAKCATCTCACTGTCATCTTGGATGTTTTTGCCAGTATCATTCTAATTCTGTAGCCTTCTCTTTTCAGAGGTGGCCAGAGCTGCAGGTGGTATTCAAGAGCATTAAACACAAGTGTTTTCAGCAGATCTCCAGGGCATCACCTCATGTCACAAGCATGCAGAAGAAACCTCATGCAGCAAACACAGCCCATCACCCAATACATCATCACTGCCATGGAAACCCGAAAATTCTGTCCATGTTGTGCCAAAACAGACTTGTAGGAAAGAGGGAAGGGAGGCAGTATGTTAACAATCACTTCCTATTGCCAGACAAGTCTGCTTGGTATTATAGGGTAGAGGAGACCATGATACTGTGCAACTCCCAAGAACATGCTATCACTCTTCCCTTAGACATAGGGATGCTGGTGACAGCAATGTATGAATCTCTCTAATCCCTCTAGTTTTAGACATGATGACTCTTCTTCCTATTCTGCACTCATGTGTCACAGAAAAGAAGTAAAGAAACTGCTCACAGTATTGAGATACCATATTTTTAAGCCTTCTGCTGTAAAGTTGTCAGACCTTTGCAGTGCTGCGTTGATAAAGATGGAAAAAAAGTTTACTCATTTCCAAACTCAGATGAATTCTGGCTGTCAGTGCTGGTTTTAGTCACAATTCTTGCTACAAAAAAATCAAATTCATATCCAGCTCTTTCAGGTATTTGTGAATACCATATATTCTAAATATATCTCTGAAGAATATGCTTCACTCTTCAAATGAATTTTGTTTCTCTTACTGATGATGTACTAAAACTCCCGGAATAGTCACAAGGGTATAGGGACATTTTTTTTATATTCAGTAGACTAGATGTATTAGACTTTCTTCTAAATCTTTGTTGTGGTGAGGGACTTTTACTTACAGATGTGCAAAGATCAAATTGCATGGATTCCCTGCCCCTGGCTTTGTTTGTGTGTTTGACTGTTTCCACCAAAAGTGGTTTAAATGTAGTAATTTTTTTGTTTGTTTCCTAAGCTAGACTGTCAGACTTCTCTCAAGGTCTATTTTGAAGCTAATGACTTATTTTTTTTCATTCTGCTTTATAAAAATTCAGTTTGCAATAATTAAATTAAAAAGTATACTGCATGTCAGCCCACTGCTCATGCACTTGGTTAGGAACTGAATACATCTGTATTGAATAACAGAGGTAAAATCCTGATGTTCTTGAAATCTATAACAGAATTTCAAACAAATTCATTAGCAGCAGGATTTCATGCCTTTCCGTATGTATTGATTGCGTAGAGCATTTGGTGGTTGATGCCTGAATACTCGAGAGAATTTTTTTTTTCTTTTTGAGGAAAACGCTAGGAAGCCTTTCAAAGTGACCTGTTCCTGGGAGGTGTTGCTGGGGATGCAGGGAGCCAGCTGGTCAGGCTGAAGTAAAAGCTGGAGCCATCTGTTAGACTGTTTCTAAGATGCCATAGAAGACTTTGCAGTTTTGCAGAGGATGAAAGGAAGGAAAACCTAGATTTAAAAATATTCCCCCTTCTTGTACACACCAGTCGGTATGTCTGCTTATAGATATGTCATGTCATAGAGTTTGGAGACACACGAGACACACACTCCTTCTGGATTAGCTAAATGAGCAAATCCTTTGCAATTGGTAGCCTGGAAGAATATCGAGAGACAGTTTTTAGCTTTCTGCCCCTGTCTGGTTGGCTGGAAGCGCAGAGGACTGTGTTGAAGGTTTCTCATAGTGGGAATTAGTGGAGGGTATGACATCTGTTCTAAGGAAAATGCGGGCAAATATAAAAGGAACTTTCCTCTGAACTTACAGCTTTTGTTGTGGAGATGCCAGATGACATTAAAATTAAACTTAAACCACCAGTTTATTTCACAGAAGCCACCAGCAGCCAGTGGTTATGACCAACTTTTGAATTCTTGCCTGTTAAAGGGCTACAAATTTTTCTTTATTTTTATTATATTTTGTTAGCTTTTCCTCCCTTGAACTCCTGTGATTTAAGGATAGCTACAGATGTATTTTTGCCCATGCTAACTCATGTCTCAGTGCCGTTCAGACTTTGCCCTTGCTATCAAATAAACATTTGCAAGTCTTGCCAACACCACAGTGACTTTGCAATGCTTGCAGGGGCTCTGTCTGCAGTCAGACCGCAGCAGGGTCACATCGGGGCAGCCCCAGCTACCTTGAAAGAGGCTTGTGTTGCCCGCTCTTCAAAAGTTAGCTGAAGGCTGCTGTGGCCAGAGTAAAAATTAAAGGCTGCTGTGGCCAGAGTAAAAATTAAAACAAACTTTGCCACGTTAATCCTTCCTTTGTGTATTTTTCCTATGAGCAGACAGTCTGGAAAAAAGGCGAAGAGCAAGTAGGTGATCCTGAAGCTTACTGTTCAGATGCTTTTCAGTCACAGAATAAATCTTATTACAGGCAGACTGTGGATCTTTAATTCCCAAAATGAACAAACAAACAATAAACCAACCACACATGGCTAGTAATAAAGCAAGGTGCTGCTAAAGTCAGACTTATAGAGAAGCAGTTCTCTTGGCTTTTGCTTCCAAACACGCATAGAATCCAGGCTTTCCTTTCAAGACATTGAAGTCTAGTGAGGATGCAAGCAAGTCTGCTTCAAGCGGTGAGAATACAGCAAGTCTGCTGTATTTGTGTTTGTTTATTTTTGCTTTTCAAACTACTTCTCAGCCATGACTGTATGAATAGACAGTTCAGATGGCCTGAAGGAAGATGTATTTGAACAAGGTGCTTGTTTGTGTCAAGTCATTCCTTTAAAGTCCTGTCCTTACTTGATCCTGTGTTCTCCTCCTATGATCCCGTTATGCCAGACATTGCATTAATTCCCACCCATTTTCTTCATCTTTCCTGGCAGCAAAAACACTATCACTATGGTCTCTCAAGAACAGTTTGTAATTTTGATAGTAATGTGTCAACTTGCTTGTCTTTCATGGTTTTATTATTTAATTTTAGTATTTGGATATCTATGGATCTGAAAGTCTCACCTTTGAGATTTTCTGCATTACAAGTAGCACTGGAAAGACGTTTTTTGTGTTTATTTGTTTTATTTATTTGTCTGTTTTCTTTCTTTTTGCACATCTTTTGCTATAGGCATTTGAACTCAGTCTTTTAATTAATCATAAGCCACCTGGAAAAGGTCATAGGGCATTTTTACTGCTCAAGAGACAGATATCATTATTGTATTTCTATATAATTTCAGAATAATAAACACACTACATTTCTCACAACAACTTGGTGTTCCCCAAGCTTTATTGAATAATTCTGCACAGTAATTCACAACTTTTTTAATCAGACTGTCCTTCCAACAGCCTTGGTGGCTTAGAAAGTAATCAAAATAAAACTGGAATATATGTCATACAGATATATTTCCATTTGTATAGTTATTTCAGTGGCAATACATCAGCATCATACAGAGCAGAAGTATAAGAATTCGTCTTTAGACTTCACTTGCCTTAGTTTGAAACTCTGGAGGTATTAAATGATTCATAGTAGTATCATTATGCACAACCACAGAAGCAAAATACATTTTATTATTTTGAAAGCTCAATGGGAATCTTGGGTCAGAGATAGGCAAGGTGTCAGTTCTTGAAAACTAGTGATTTTCCTCCGAAAAGGAATCCTTTAAACCTTAAAATGTTTCAAATGGAAAGGTATTTTAGAGATTTATTTTATCTTGCTTAAAATATTCAATGGCATAGCAGAATTTAACATCATAAGGGAACATGACTCAGTAGTAACAAAGTCAGGGAAATGCCCTAGCCTTCCCTTTAGGTAAATACAATTGTCTAACAGCAGGCTAAAATCTAGACATTCTCAAACAAGTCCTCACAAGTGCGTCATTTTGAATGCCAGCAGAACATCTAGCAGTTGTTTTCCTTACTTCTCATGCTGCTTTTAATCACAGACAATGATATACTTTTCAGTCTTGTCTTGTTTTCTGTGTGTATGAATGTTCAGTTCCAAGTACTCAGTTAATGCATACCAAGCTGCTCCAGRTGGTGTCCCTGCTGATACAGTGTATAGACAAAGCTCCTCAGAGGGAAGATTTACTCAAATCCTCAGAGTAAAGACTAGCACAGTCACTTTGAAGAGCAGGAGCTGGGGTATATGTGCATGTAAATGGATTGTTCTTCTTTCCTTCTCATCATGCTATTGTTACCTTGCATTAAAATGAGCTTCTGTGACTGCTGTAGCCTAAACAAAAAGGAGGTGGTACTTCTACAAAGCCCAGAGATTAACAGGCACTTGTCACCACAGCCCATTGCCCATATAAYTTAGGACCAACAAAGAGTAATAACTGGAAAAGCTAAACCACATATATAGCACATATATAGCTATACCTGTGCAGATTTCACTGCGCCCGTAACCCTGCTCTTCCCATGGATGGCAGTCAGGGACAAGATACTTGTCTGGAACAACAGCAGTACAGCCTTTCCAGCAAGCCCCTGAGGGCATTCATTACATTCCTCATGCACTTTGAATCTTTAGCATTACTTACAGAGCTCACCTGTGACTTCAAGATTTTCCAGTCCACCAACAGTAATTATTTTTGAAATATTTTTGAAAAATCATCACTGCTTAAAATGGAGAATTGCATTCTCAGTGCAAGAATCCATGATACTTAATTGCAACAGATTCAAAAAGAAAATATTTAAAAAATAAGGAAGCATAAAGTTCAGAGGGAGAGTGTTAGCATAAAATCATTACTGTAATAAAATTGTCTTTGGGCAACACAAAACTTAATCATTTTACTTCACTTGTTTCAGAATCTCAGAGATATTGTGATCCCTTCATCTCAAATCTATATGGCACTGCAATATTATAAATATCTTTTATTTCCAGGGTCAAATCAAGTAGTCAATCATGTGTAGTACAATTGAAGAAAAGAAAACTCCAATGCATATATAGTGTGGGCTTCATATCAGAAAATTTGTCACTATTCTGTAATTTCAGTAGAATTATAGCTTCTATTTTATGTTACTAGAGATACAGCAGATGCCAAAACTGTGGTGATACTGTCCTTGTGGGTCTACTCACCATCACACTAAGTGTGATTTGAAAGTGGTTTTGTACACTGTCCTGTAGAACTCTGATAAAATAAGTAAATTTGGGGAGGATGCAGAGCAGTGATGTTATTTACCTTGACTTTGATGCTGTCTCTCAGTGTTTCCAAACTGAGATATTATGATCCAGATGTGTGGACAGCTGGGTGGATAGAAAAAGAATTGCTTGGAGGGCCAGGCTCGGAGGATAGTGGTTGATATCTGGATGCCGATAGCAAGAGGAGTAGTAGTGGTTTGACCTACAGAAGAATTTTGGTTCCTTTTTCCAGAGCCTGAAGTTGCAGYGCACAAAATGGTGTCTGGGCTAACAGATCATAGTTGGACTCGAATTTCATAGAATCACAGAATGGTTAAGGTTGGAAGGGACCTCTAGAGATCATCYAGTCCAACCTTCCTGCAYACGCAGGGTCACCCAGAGCACGTGGCACACGGCTATGTCCAAGCAGGTTTTAAAGATCTCCAGAGAAGGAGACTCCACAACCTCTCTGGGCAGCCTGTKCCAGGGCTCTGTCACCCTCATTGTTAAGAAAATTTTCCTGAAGTTCCTGCGGAACTTTTGGTGCCTCAGCTTGTCACCGTTTCCTCTAGTTCTGTCCGTGGTTACCACTGAAATTTAGCGAGAATTCTCACTGAATTTAATGAGAAAAAGACTGTTGAAATATAGCTGGAGATCTACAGTTGAATTCAGAAAATTACAAGTTCATAAGGCAGTTCCTGGCTCTGAGCCTTTTCCGCAATTTTGTGCAAATAATTTAATTTCCTTGTGCCATCTGTGGAAGCTTAAGCCAGGTAAATTAATCAGTTTAATTTGTAGGTTAATTTGTTGGTATTTTGTCTTCTCTGAAATGGATTTCAGGCTCATCATTCTAATGCCCAGCAGGCTGATCTGAGGGCAGTTTTCTATGAGTAGCTACACGTGAAGTGTAGGAGGGTGAATTGCCTAGCTTGTAACTGATTTAGCAGGAGTTGAAAGAGGAAATTAATACAAGGTTAATTTACTACTGCTGCTGTTCTGTATTTTGCTAGGATATACCGTAAATGCCATGGTCTTGTCTTATATAAAATAAAACAATATACGTAGTCTGCTTGTAGAATGAAGACTAGTAATACTTTACTGCCTTAAATTGCTTTAGATTAAAGAAGAAGTCCCAGTCGGTGGATATTAGCGGGCCAGGATGTAACCCAGTGGCAGCTGAAGCTCAGACACCTCAGCCCAGTAAATCTTCGCTTGCCACTAAGACAGCCACTTCTGAGGAGGAACAGAACAACACTGCAAATACACAGAGGCGCAATCCGCGGAGGAGTGAGCTGAAGAGATATTACACCATCGGTGAGTTTTCTTCCCAGAAAATTTCAAATATAACTGTATGAAGTAGCAAGGTCTTCTTGTTCATTTGTGTTCTCCTTCCTCCAGTTAGCTGTATTTAGCTGCTAAGAGTGCTAAGGTCTACAGTGAGCATTAAGTTGTCATATCTTAATGGTGATGTACAATTACCCTTAAAAATAAACCTGCTTTGTTTATCTTGCACTGTTTACAGAAATTCTTTTCTTGAGGTTTTTTTTTCTCTTAAAGACTATGGAATAAAACATGGAAGCAGTTCTAGGAGGAAGGATATAGGGAGGAATCACCTTTCACAATGGGTTGCATCAGACTTTAGGGAGTGATAATTTGTAAGGCTAGAGCTTCTAGTCTGGAAGAGAAGGCTCCTGGGTGTGAAGTATCTCTAGCATAATGTTGCCAGGATTAGTTAGAGGGTGATAGGTAATTCATTTTATTTGTTTGTTTATTTSTGGATATACAGGGTATCTGGAAATTCTTCTGAGATTTCAGCATCTAAGAACTTCCTAAAACCATCTTAAGTACTGTAGAAAATGCTTCATGACTTGCTTCCTCTTAAAACTTTTCGAGACTTAACTGACCCCTTTGGTAACTAGAATTTACTCAGATCCTTTCTAAACATGAGTGTAGTGGCACACCAGGCGTGGGCAGAGACTCTAAAATAGAAAATAGCAGATTTTTGTGATGTGATTTGTGTACAGTTAGGCTGTTAAGTACCTTAAACAAGCATAATAAACCTGTGGCTGTCTTAACAATGAAAGTGTTTCACATTATTTTGACCATGTTTGAAAGTTCTTTTAAGTTAAAAGCAACCCATGTCCAAGATCGGGCAGTATGACCTAATTCTTATGGTGATAAATAGATTAAGAAAATGTGTTGAAAATATGACACTTGTAGCTAGCTTTGCTGCTTTCATTTTAAAAATAGTATTTTGCTATGTTCACCTTAAAGGAAACTGACTGATGATAATGTTTATGGTGGTGACTTAGGTACGTTAGTTTATGCTTGAGTAAACTTAACAACACTCATGTTTTGTTAGTCTCTTATTTTTTTAACAACTTCTTTCAGTAAATATGATAATGATTTTCAAAGCACTTTATAGATATGAGAGTTGAGTTCTAAGCTAGTTTATCTAAAAGTATGTAGTCTATGTTTAGACATGTACATATATGCTTATTTTCTTTTTAAAATATAGTATTCGGTATTGTTTTACCTATTAAATTTTAACTTCAATGGTCAGCCTGATGTGTTAGCCACTATCCATAATACTAAGTATGTGATAGCTGCTTGAAATTATTTCTAGAGAAATGGGTGAACAGCCTTATTTTATCAGCTTGTCAAAAGAGAAAATGTTAAAAAAATGTATTTTAGAGATTTTGATGTAATTGAAAGGATATCTATGTTCAAATCTCTGAAGTGCTTCCTGTAAACCTCATTCCCCTTTACRGACCCAAAGACAGTCAGCACTCACCTTGTACAAACATGCCTTTCAGAAGAAATCACAGCAACTTGTTCTCTACTACCATGAGCAACTGAAGCCAATTGTCTAGTTTTTAATTTTATGTCTCCTCTTATGCTTACATAGATTTACCTAGGAGCTCTGGAAGCTGAATGTGTATTAAGGAAGGAGTATCCAGGTAATTTCAAGAGTCTTTAAAATTTCATCAGAAAATATCTCTTACTTTAAAAGAACCACCTTACTTTAAAGAAGACTTACTTTACATTTCCTTTTTCTGATTAAACTTCATCTCAGATACTTTCTAAACTTAATGAGTGCAGTTGTAATGTTTAAAAGGGAGGAGAGTGGAGGCAACAGAAATAAGTTGTGTGCTCAGATGAAATGAAACAGAAATTCAGTAAAGGGGAGAAATAACTGTTCCATATGGCAGGCTCAGCAGCAGAAGGGTTCCTGTGCCTTCTTTGGTGAACTTGTGTGAAGAAATTGAGTGGGAACTGCTAAATTAAAAAGATGCTTGAAAATAAAAATCTAAAATTAGGCTTTTTACATGCTTCAGGCACTTAAAAATTCAGGCCACTTTTTTTCTGAAGTGAAGGAGACAAAGTAAGTATCCMGATTTTTAGGCTATCTGAAAAGTGGGATGGAGCACTATAATTGAGTATTTTAGTATAGCGGTAACCTATATTAGTTGGATGCAGTATCCAGACTACAATTAGCTCTTAGCTGGCCTACACTCAAACAAGGTGCAGCATTACAACCATATTGCGTGTAGGAACAATCTTTTGATGGTATCATGCCCCAGGATGTATGTTTAGCTGTTTATTCGGGTGACTTTAAGTAATTTAATGTTGTGCTACAGTACCCTACAAAGATAGACACTTGAAGATTATTCTCTGAGTGCTACCTGTAGCCATGAAAGTTGTGGTGCAAGACACTTAAGTTCTCCTAAGAGGATGTTGCCTATTGAAACAAAGCTACAACACCAGTATGGAGTTAATTGAAACTAAGATGGCAACATAAGCGTATTTACTTGATTCTAGGAATCAGGCAGTAGAAACCATGAAGCAAAACATTAGTTTAGGAGGATAAATGAAGCAATTTTTAAATTGTATCTCCTTATATTTTAATAAAAGCCTTAGTGTAAATCTGGTTATATAGGACAGCTTCTAGGACAACCTATTTCACTTAGAAGAGAACTACGACCTATCTCAGAAGATGTCTTCCACTAATACAGTCTGTATCTCCTGTGGAAGGTTCAATCGTTCCCACATCCAGACTRTTTGTGAGTGTATATAATCTACAGCACGCAGACAAGCATTTGTTGACATCTTGTGTGTTATTTCCATGTTCTGCCTTTTTTCTTAAAAATCTTCATACAGCAGTTTGAAGGAAATGTTGATGGTCAAAATGGCCATGATTTCCTAATAATGTTGCTTAACTTGTGTATTTTTACAAAAAGTGTTTGATGTCCCACTTGCCAATAATAGAAACAATAAATTTTCCTCTACAGCTGCTCATACAAATGAGATCAGTAAAAAAATACTGCCATAAAATATTTTCTCCTAGCTTATCATGGCCTTGATGGTGCTGGTACTCTATACTACTCTTTTTCTAGAATATGGACATTTTTCAGGACAATGGAATTATGCTGATATAAAATCATCATGAGAGGGAAATAATGCTTTTGGGGTAAGCAATATTAAATGAATACCTATTAGCTGACTAAGTTTCCCAAATGGATCACTACTAGCTAATGCCAAAGAGTCAAATACAAAAAGCCAGATTTTCTTGTGGTCTCCCAATCTTGCATGCAAGGGAAAATGTTTCCCTGGATAGTCACTTCAGTTTTAGTAGTGACTAATCTAGTCACTGTTGGTAATTTAGTACTTCAAAACATATTCTTGTGAAAACAAGGTAGATCTTCCAAAGAATCTAATGGTCCAAAATGGAAGCAATGACATGTCACAAGGATTATTACTAATATACTAAGCAGTTTAACAGAAAGAAAGATATTTCAAGGAACCAAACACAAAATCTTTTTAAGAGATTAAGTAATAGCCACCTTCTCCTTTTGCAAACAGGATATGATTCGTAAGTTACATGACAGTTATATGTGCAATAGATTCTGTTTATTTCTATTTACATACATTCAAACCTACTTCCATTAAAATTATTATTTCCTCTAAAACATGTCAGAGCAAACTTATTTAAGTGTGATTTTATCCACGTTTATAACATTTACTACTAAACCTATATTGTGCCACACTATTCTCTGTTATAGAATTGTTATGCAAAACATACAGTGTGACTGGAATAACTTCACTTGGAGAAGGAAGAAAATCACTGCACTTGAAAATGTATACTTACTGAATGAACAAATGGAGAAGATCATGGGGCTTATCTCCTGGGACCATTTGCTATTGCAGTCTTAGTGCTGAAGTTCCTTCCTGCCCTTAGARGTTTTATTTTTGGCACTCTGAAAATACCTGATTTCTTTAATGGGACTTATTCTGGCGATAAGCAGTGTATACATTTTGCAGAGKTTTTCTGCAAAGAATACTCCACGTTGTTTCCAAATATGTCTTTGAAAGGTTCTTCTTATTACTTGGAGGTTGAATAGATTTACTGCTTCTGCAGAACTGAAAAAGATTTTTTTTCACTAGTGGCTTGCAAATATCCATTTTTTTCTCTTACACAATCTATAGCATTTTGATCACCTTTGATTTTTATAGCTAATATTAGACAAACACGACACACAGGTATGTATATCAGGAATTGTGAGCAGGTGACAGAGATGAGTACAGCAGAAGCTGTGAATTTGAGCTGCATTCCCTCTTTTTTGGTGAAGGACAGATGGGAGATGAGACTGCCAACTCTCTCCCAGTGGGTCCAGATGCAGTTCACACACATTTGTGGATTTTGACTCTGCCCTGTTCAATGCATCTATAATTTTCTTATCAAACATTCACTGCTTTCTGAGAGACATCATTCAAATTGCTTCCTTTCAAATGCAGTCTCAGAAACTTTTTGGGGAGGAAGTTGTTTTCCAAGCACCTCATTACCTGTTTCTGAGTGATAAGGAAAGTGAAGTGATTTGTGCAACATGTGGATAATATGGCAAGTGGCTTTCATAGCAACGGTAACTATGTTAAATTCACCTTTCATGACCATTTTTATTAGTGATTCACATCACATAGCTACTATGGATGAGCAAAGAAGCATTTGTTCATGTCTTTGTATTTCTCTATTTTAGAATTTAAAAATTAGAGCAATTAAAAGCCACTTTTTAATGTTGTGTCCTTCTTTTGTCCTTTACAGCTACTGTGTGTATCTTTTGAATATAGATGAGTTCAGAGCTATAGAGACAGCATTCACTGGATAAGTGATGTTCATTAATGTCCTTTCATTTCAGCATGTCCCTTTTCTAAGCATTCTGGGTTTTCTAATCATATGTATTGCTGTTATATCATCTGCTGAGTCATTTGGGGTGAGAAATTCATAATTTCCCTGCTTCACATGAGAACAAAAATGA